ACTTTCCAGGTTGTTTGTTTGAGGGATTCCCGGCCTCATTTTAATTGACCATTAGTGAAAGCCCAGAATGGGCCCTTTCTTGAGCATTAGTGAAAGCCCAGAATGGGCCCTTTCTTGAGCATTAGTGAAAGCCCGGAATGGGCCCTTTCTTGAGCATTAGTGAAAGCCCAGAATGGGCCCTTTCTTGAAAAAAAACAACTGCTACCACCTCCAGAGGTGGCAGCAAAATGCCCTTCCCCGCATCCCGCCAGGCTGCTGACAGTTGATACCCCGTTTGCTGCTTTTGGCACTTTCCCTGCCTCGTGCGACTGGCCCAACCATCAATCAAAATTTAGCTATTTCGCCATAAAAGGCCCTACCGTTAGTGTGAGTAGGCCCTTAGGCGGACATTGTTTTGGTTCAGTGGGCCAGGGTCGGAAAAAGTGTCGATTCGAGCCTGGGGCCACTGGTGGTTTATCATGAGTACAAAGCACGCAGCCCATCCCAGGCTTTCCATCGTGCGGTCCACCTTTCTTCCCGTCGATTCGTGGTCGACACGCTTCCTCCTTTCTGTGATAAGAGATTGGACGATTCGATCACGACTGACGATCGAGTATCTGTGCACTTTCCCGAAAGACAAGAGAGAGATTTCCACGTCGTACGGATGGGATGGATCGAAGGGACCCATGCGAGGCCCGATAGAAGATCTGGCTATGGCGACAATGGCAGACGAAACCGAAACCCGTCGAACGAAGCTTATCGTTGGTCGCAGGTTGCAGTCCCTCTCTCTTTCGCATATTTCCCGCTTCCGCGAGAGAGCGAGGAGGAGATGTCGTCCGCCGAGGGTTCCGTGGCATTTACGGAGAGGGCCGGAAGTTGCCTGTTCTGATACTACCGTCTTCCCTCGAACACAAAGCACCCTAATTTTGGCTGCATGGGACCGGAAAGCTAGGTCGTATATATCCATAATCAGGGTGCGTTGTGCTCGGGGGAAGACGGTAGTAAGCTGTGTCGCAACATATGACTCCCGCTCTCCTGTTCTGCTTTGTGTTATATGCTCCTCGAGACCCGGCCGTCTCGCCATCCCTCTTTCTTTCTGTCCGCTCCCCAAGCAGAGCAGTACCTGCTCAGATGCGCTGGAAAAGGTGAAGGGCATTTTAGGGGTTGGGTCAGACACTTCATTACATATATATATATACGGTTCCCTCGTCGCCAACGCTCATTCACCATCCGGGCATGAACTGATTTAGGGCCTCGCTCCACCACTCACCAACTGTGCAAAATGAGAGTGAATCTTCCGCTGGAACATGGAAAGATAAGCGTGAATCTTCCACTGGAACATGGAAAGATACGCGGCCATAATCTGTGTCTCTGTGCATGTGGTGAGTGGTGGAGCGAGGCCTCTTCTTCGTTTTCTGCTCGCAACTGTACTCTGCATCGATCACCTCTTCTCTGCTCTCCTCTCCATCTCCCTTTACGCTCTGTCTGTCTTCACTCACTGAGGCAATATCTATTCTCTCTCTCTCTCTCTCTCTCTCTCTCTCTCTCTCTGTGTCTCTGTGTGTGTCTCTGTGTCTCTCTCTCTCTCTCTCTCTCTCTCTCTCTCTCTCTCTCTCTCTCTCTCTCTCTCTCTCTCTCTCTCTCTCTCT